ACTGCAAAGGCTGAAAAATCTTGAAGTCTGTATGAAATTGGAGGTAGTTTGAGGATTAAATTTTTTATGCTTTTTAAGCTCAAAAGGGGGGGGGTCGTATTATACATGAGATCGTATTATACATGAATAAATATGGTAATAAAAATGATTAAACAACCTGGTGCCTGTCTTTGTTTTAACAGCGTACTCCAGTAGATTACATTGGTGTGTAGAGTTTAAAGAGTTTAGTGAGCAGGAGGTAGCAGGGTTTGAATCCCTGGGTCTTTGCCAAAACTCTGTGTGAGAAAGGCGCAACATCCACATCTTCCTCCATCCTCATTTGCCCCACTGTGGGCCCTTGAGCAAGCCCCGTAATCCCCCTGCTGCTGGGTGTAGGAGGCTATGATGTAGGTAAAGGTGGTTACCATGAAMAAAGATGCGACGTGGGTGAAGGTGGGTACAATGTGAGGCGTCCTTTTGAATCCAGTCCAGAGCCAGCAGAATGGAGGAGTGAAATGACACAAACATCTGGATGAATGTCTTCATTGCTGAGCTGTTCCTGCTCAAACTTAAAGAATTAATCTGCGCTTTATAAAAGTCATTGTTTTTGTTGTATTTGGAGCTGCAGCCTGTCTTGTAGCTTGTTAAAAACATTTTAACCTGCTGTTCCTCTCCAAGCTGTGAGTGTTTTACAGTAAATTTAAACTGTCTTGTGAACAGGGCTCCTTTTGGTGCTTTGGTCATCGGCTTGCAGAAACTGACCGGAGAAACGTTTCGCGAGAAGAGGAAGAGAGAACATAGAGAGCTTTACGAGAACAAGCTTGAAGAATGGTGAGAGATTTAAACATTTATTTATTTTTATTATTTGTTTACCTCTCCTGTTGTAGCATCAGTGTAAAACACAGTAAAGCATGAGGGTGGTAGCGTCATGCTGTGGTTCTGTTCGTGATCAAAAAACTTTCAGGAATAAAACTGGGTGAAAAGTTAAGATAACTTTTTTAATTTTAAATAGAAACTTAGTGACTTCTATAAAGCGTGCAGCAACAATTAACAGTATCTTACCTGTTGTAGATGGTTCTTTGAAGTTTTAATTTTGACCAGCTTAATGAGCTAACAGCTAGTCAGAACAGGTTTGATGCATCTGTTTGTTTCTTAATTCCTTCGTTCTGATCAGGCTGGCCCGCCTGAGCATGACAGATGAACTGGTATCCAATCTGAACTCCAGCACTCAGCAAGATGAGGCCATCGAAGACGATGAGAGGATCCAGGAGCTGCTCAGTCTACCTCGGAACACGGGTGTGGACCAGGACTCCAGCAGCTGAGTGTGTTTCCGTCAGACTTTGAACAGGTGAAGGAATTAAAGAGACTCTGTTTGTTTGGACTCTTAAGATTCTTTCAACCCATCCTCAGAACATCAGAAACATGCTGTGAAAATGAAAACACAACGACTGTAAATTGGTAAATGTATATTTAGGTTGCTGAATATTGGGTGACTGTCTTTTAGATGTGAAACAAAACGTGATGCTGCAGATTGTTTGGTTGAACATGACTTTAATCTGAAAAATGTTTATAATTTACTCAGTTCAATAAAATACATGACTTATAACAATAGATTAGTGTAAGCAGAAATAAAATGTTTTACTTTCCTAAATACTGAGAAAACCAGCAACAAATACAAAGACATCCTGCCTTTGGTTTGGTTCTCAAAATTACATTCAGTAACCTACATTAAGATCCTGGACTGGCCTACATCAGTGGTTCCCAACCCTGGTCTTCAAGTACCCCTATCCAGCATGTTTTACCTGTTTTCCTGCTCTTCAGCAGGTCTTCAGAAGAGTGTTAATCACTCTTCATTCAAACCAGGTGTGTCAAATCAGGGAAACATCTAAACATGGAGGAAAGGAGTCCTTGAGGACCAGGGTTGAGAATCACTGCTTTAACATGTTATCTGATTTATTATTTACAAATAAATGGCAACGAATCAGTGGCTTCCAGAGGCAATACTAAAATACATAAAACTGAGTCAATATTATATTTTGAAAATGTCTCATCAATCTCAGAGAAGCCCTTGTTGGACAACATTTAAAGCAGTGATGTTTAGATGTTTKCCTMTTTAATGTCAGTYCTTCTATTCTGAATAAAAGCCTGGTGCACGTAAACACGARCGGATTGTGCCCATGTAAACGATACATTACATACATTTCAATCCGATCAAAGAACTTTGCACATGTAAACATAGCTAGTGAGTCTGGAAAAGTCTGGTAGATTTTGCTCCTAATATTTTCAGTTGTGGATGAGTTTTGAGAACAAGCAAATGGAAATCTGTCAATTTTTATAAAAGATAAAAATGTCTGAAACTGCTTTCAAATATTTCACTAACCCCCATGAAGGTCATGACATGTAATAAAAGTCCTGCTGCTGGGAGAGATGCTGAAGCAGATGCACTGAGCCAGTCTTGTGTCATTCATTCTGGAGTTTCCTGGCTTTGTATGTGTCCTTCAAAGTTTTTATTTTTTAAAGACCTTCAGAAACCAGCAGCTTTAATCACTCCTCTGTCAGCTGAAACCTTGGCATTTCTCTGCTTGGTGTGTGTCCTTTTAAAAGATTTTGAGGAAACTGGAAAAAGCAGAAGACAAAAAATGGCTCAGGCTTTAAAAACTTTTTCTTTCAGTTGAGGGTCTTTTTTTCGCACATCATCCTTTAGCTGATCATCTGCCATAATGGTTTCAGCTAACAATATTTCAGGAATTAGCTTAATGCTTAAATGACTTATTTTTGTCCATGAAGCTATGTCTTTTTAGGACTTTATTCAAAATCCAACTAAAGAAATGAAAACTGGTCAACGTGTAAAGAACAAAAAACCTGTGTATTAATCTGATAAATAGAAGAACAACTCTAACTAAAAGCTAACAAATGCTAGTTAGAATCTAAAATAACAGAAATCTAACTGGAAGCTAAAATTTACAAAAATATTGATTAGTCTAAAACAACAGCCCCTTTGAACAAAACTAACAGATGGATCTTTGTTGGCGTTTTTGTACCCACAACAGAAAAGGCTAGTTTTAACAGTTGTTCTGTCCTTTTGTTTGCAAATATGTGTTCCCAACTATTAAAATGAGTGAAGCATGTTCAGTAGATCATGCTAATAGTTTGTTGGCCTCTTCAATAATCCATTCTCCAGCCTTATGGTACAATCTTTATTTCTCGCATCCATCAGCAATACCAGTTAGACAAATTGTTGAGAAGAAAAATAAGAAATTCATTAGATACCAATCAGAATAAAAAACAAAACAAAAAAACATTGAATTTGGTATGAACGTTGTTTTTTCTTTACATTTTTTACATCTAAACATGTAAAAACAATATTCAATGTTTAAATTCAGTGTATATTTTTAGTTGTTWAATGTCACCCCTTCAACAAACTTAAAGTGGACCATGGGCCAACAGTTGATAATTATAGTTGCAGGATGTTTTGCTGCTCCTGACACATTTTATTAGTGAGCCAAGGGGAAGAAATGACTCTTGATTGTAAAGGTTGCAGACCCCTGGTCTAAAAGGAGCAAAAACTGAACTAACTGCTGCTGAAGCAGCAAAAGGCTTGGCTGAAGCTTTTACATTTACTGTCTGCCAAGGTTTCAGRTAATAATGCCTCTGAAATCCACCTGGTGATGCTAAAATGCTATATTTTCTGTTAACCTTTATTTTAGGAATTTATCATAAATCCAACTAAATAAAACAAATGGATCAACAGGTGAAGGGCAACAGAAACATGACCCAGTCTAAGACCTGGCTCCTCTGCAAAGATGTTTTGTTTCTACAGTATTTATGAAGTACTAATTTGATAACTGACAGCTTTGAAGTCTTTAGTTGTCAGAAAATGTTCCACAGATCATCTGGATTTGGGAAGTGTGGGTCATCTAACTGCAGTCCTAGGTCTTTATAGGTCCTGACCACCTCCTCATCAGCCCCACTGATGGACACTGAAGTGTGTTCACTCCTCTAGTAGAAGTCCACCACCATCGTTACCAGCTGGTCTCTGAGGACATCACAGCTCTGATATAATAGTTTTACTGTTATTCCAACTGAAGTAATCAAGTCTTCCTGAAGGTGCGACTGAAATAATCACATTTCAAAATAAGTTACATTTCAAATTAAATTAGTTTTATCCCTGATTAGTTCTAACATTAGACTTTATTTGATAAACATATTTTAACTGTAAAATAAAGACTGTAAACATTCTGTAGGCTGTTTAGTTTTTATKATTTTTAAACTAAAAGTTTAAAAATAAACTAAACTAAAAGGGCCTCAGTTTAGCTTGTTTGTCGCACTAGCACCGAGCTAATACATATAAGGCAATATAACGTCAGCGCTAGCGCAAAGGCTAACAGGCTAAGCTGAGGTTCTTCTTCCATGAAGCAGCTCTGTTGTTCTCCATCCATATTTTCAGTTCCAGGCTGAGTCATTTCTACCTTCTCCTCTCTGTCAACGCTCTCTGGTTTCATTTAAAAGAGTCGATCATCAGATATTGTCAAAGATTAACCTTCAGGGTGGATATAGCTCGCTAGCAGCCTCACACCGAGGACCTATCCACATCATCATTTACCCAGAATGCTTTGTGTGTAAATAAAACGGCTCCATCCGTGTTAAAATATATTTTTAAAAATTATAAAGACTAAACAGCCTACAGTAMTTTTACAGTCTTTATTTTACAGTTAAAATATATGTTTATCAAATAAAGTCTAATGTTACAACTAATCGGGGATCCTTTTAATCAAATGTTGGCTACAAAAATAAATTCTTATGTAGCACAAATGCTCCAACCATCAGTTTAAAAAAMGTACATTCAAGTRAGCCATAATAAAAATTAGTAATGAATTTTAGTATTTTTATCACCCATCAAATAAACAAGAGAGTCAGAGTAGAGCTGCTCCTCCACATCCAGAAGAACCAGCTGAGGTGGTTCATCTGGTAAGGAGGACCCCTGGACGCCTCCCTAGGGAGGTGTTCTAGACATGTCCAATTGGGAGGAGACCCAGGACATGCTGTAGAGATAATGGCGTTCAGTTGGTCTGGGAACATCTTGGGGTCCTAGAAGAGCTGGACGAACGTGGTTGTGGAAAGGGAGGTCTGGACCTCCCTGATCAAGATGCTGTCCCCTTAGACCTGACTCTGGACCAAGATGATGGATGGTTGCTGAGGTCCAAGGTAAACACCTTCCAKATCAGTTTTCTGTCTTTAAAAAAATAAAACCCTCATAAAGCATTCTATCTAAACACATCTGTTTTATTCTGTTTGGACCCTCAGGCCTTTCAGTATCTGGGTCGAACGGCTCCGGCCCCTGGTGTAAACAAGATGTGACTGAGCAGCAGCTGGGGCCCCACGATGCTGCAGAGACCACTGATGTGCAGACGGGCGACCAATTAGGATGTAGCAGCTACATGAAACTCCATCTGTGAGGTAAACCGCTACAAATGTGTTTTCAGGATTTTTCTCATTGTATTTAAAAAATAACTACAGATAACCTGGATCTCTAAGGGTTGTAAGGGTTGTAGAAAGTGGACTTTAGATTTCTGTATGATTCAACAGTTTTTTCCTTGTAATTATTGACATTGAAAACAWGACCGCTGAAATAAACTCAGACTCTTTAGCCGGGCGTTGAGCTCCATCTGGTGGTGTTCTGTGGAACGGCTCTGTTTCAGTTTGAATTGTGAGTTCTTTAGTTCAGGGGTCATCAGTAAAGWTAGTTCAGTGACCAAAACTCTCCTGAGTAGACCATGCAGAGGCCAGCTTTTCTTGTAAAAATCACAATACCTGGTGAACAAATAAATTAAATCTACTTCAGGACTCTGTCCTGTTTGTAGACAACTTTTTGTCCAAGCTCTAAATTAAAAACACTTCAACACAGAACTGTCAAGCTGCACAGCTGGATAGCTCATGGGTCCAGTGTGATCTTGTATTACTTACAAGGTCAAAGGTCAAATCTTTCTCTGCTCTATCTTGACATCCCAGTAACATAGAAATGTCTAACTATTTGTCTCCTAGATTGTCTCTCCATAAGACAGTCCTCACAGTATGTTGTCCTATCTGTTCGTCCATATTAGGGTTGGACGATATTTGTAAAAAAATAATAACAACAATAATCACAATTAATTGTGGCATTTAGCTGATAATGATTAATATAACAAATAATCCCCTGGACGAGACTGTTCATCCTAGTCACATGACATCACTCTTGTGTTAAAGATCTGAGTGATAACACAGCTAGACTTACAGTTTTTATAAATAATTATGCATTTTATTATTGCTAGTTTTTTTTTAAATGATTATCAGATTTGAAGCATTGCAGCTTGAAAGATGAGCAGATTCATTGAAAGAACATCTGAATCCACCCTCTGGCCCCCTGGCAAAAAAAAAAAAAACCAATCCTGACCTCCATTCTGACTGAAACCTGAAGTTATTTGACAAGCGCCAAAATAAAAAATATGCGTGAGCGTACATGGTCAGTAAAGCTTGATTCTGATAATTGACCTCATTAAATATGAGATCTGTTGGCCCCTTTAGCMATTATTAAATCTGATGTGGGTCCTGTCTGAGTCCAGCAGTCCAGTAGAACTTCCATCAATGTGGTAAATTGAAAAAAAAAAAGAAAAAACTTCCTGTGATCAAGTTACATCACAGAGAAATGACAGCGGAAACCACAAGACTAGAAAAAAAAGTTTTGTTCTTTTTGTATTCCAGTTAGACCGGCTATTTAAAGTTTAACGTCACATTTGAAAAATGAAACCAAAAGCTTTTGAGTGTCGAAGCAGAGCTGCAGCCAAAACAAACATCTGAAGAAAAAAAAATCTGAATTCTTCTTTTCTTTCCAAAAATCTGATTCTAATCCAGGTGAGTTTACTTGTTTCTCATTTAGTTTTTACAGCCAGTGTTAACACAAAACTTAGAGCTTCCAACTCAAAAGAAGCTAAACAAATTATATTTCTGTGAAAGCAGAACGCTGAGGGCTAAAGGACTCTGATGAAATTTTCTTAAGAATTTGAGCCATAAAAGCTAAAAGGAACAGAARACAGGCTAAAAGTTCAAAAATAACTAAATGTTAGTTAGAAGCAGAAGAACACTAGTTAAATACTAAAAGGGGTAAAACACACTAGCTAAAACTTTAAAAAAGCACATGGCTATCTAAATATTTATGTAGCAAAAATACTGTCAAAGCTAAAAAAAAAGGCAGACCACTTAATTGTTAAAAATATCAAAACGCATGCTAAAACCCAAAAAACTGCTAAATAAAAGCTAAAAGTACCTAAAAGTAAAATCTACAAGCTGCCAAAATGAGCAAAAGGCTGCCTAAAAACTAAAAGTAGGAAAACTAGTTAAAAGCTAAAAATACCAAATGACTAGCTAAAATCTATAWGTAGCAAAAGGCTAGGTCACCTTCTACATCTTCTACATGGTTGGGTCGCAGAGAGAACAGATCCAGGGGAGATATACACCCCCACCCCCCAATTCAACAGTTCATTTTTTGCTCCATCAAGACCCCACCTCCAACCCAAACCGGGGTATGGCAGTCCAAATGTTTAATGCTGCCCTTAGACTTAAGAGAGCGCACACACACACACACACACACACACACACACACACACACACACA